CTACAGACTGTTGAGGGTTCAGCCTCCTGATGAGTCGGTGAAACTCCGACGAAACAGTTTGTCACAGCCCCTCGTTTGTTGTCCTCTTCTCTCTCTCTGCCTACGGTTTACCGGGCAGTTCTATTTGTGACGATATATATAGAAAAAGTGAGCAGTCATGAAGTTGGTGGTTGCCCTCTAACCCTCTCAGCTGCGGGATCCCCCCACCCAGTACCGTTTTTTTGTTTCCCTTTCGTGTTCCCTAGCATTTCTTCTCTCGAAGTTAACGGAGTCATTTTGCCGAGCTCCTTCAACATGTTATCTCAAGCGCCTTGGTATACTCTACTTGCTCACCTGTGTTGGTTTGGGGTATGGTTCAATCTACAGTTGATTCGCGAAGTTTTTTTCCCAGAAATTGAGGCCCTTTCCAATCATCCAATTTTGTTTTGTTCAGTAGCCACAGCTCAATTCAAATTTCGTCACTTTCTATGCATTCGTGACTCCTTCGTTCCACTGTTTCTATCTTTTGGGCAGTGAGGTGATAGAGCAGTGGCGAAAGGCCTCTCTCCGTTTGTTTAACAGGGGTCGCCTATAACATTATTGTTTATCTGAGTCCAGAAAGGATTTGAACTGGTGATCTGCCAATCGATGCAGCCACAAGGGGTTGGCTGGGTAAAAGGCTTCACTCTTACATATGATATCTGGAATGCTTTGCTGTGTGTGTTGGTTGCAGCCTTCGAAATCGAATTCACAAAGACACAGGTTATCGCAGCAATTCCAAGCTCTGCCTTCTGCGCGTGGTACGTTACAAAGAAGCATTGGCTTGCTAATAATGCGCTCGGACTTGCATTCTCAATCCAGGTAAGCGCCGTAAACTCCTTTGCCTTCGTTTATGTTTTTCGTTGTGTACCCTGGGATGCTGCTGCTTGTCCTGCCATGGACATGTACTGGTCTGTAAATCTCAGAATTGGAAATCTAATGCAAACTGTTTGTTAGCTGGCACGAGCGTTCTAGAGGGTCTACTCTTTGGGCGTCTGCAGATGTCCAGTCATTGGCTCCCTGGCTTTGAACAAATATGTGGACTGGGCCAGAATACGCAACTGTCATTGTCTTGGTGGTATGGAAATTATGGAATGCCGATGCAAACGTATGAACCGGTTAGGTGCGCGATACAAATCTGTAAACAGGACACTTCAGATATTGGTCGCTGGCCGGCCGTGTTTTTCATCTGATTCATGTGGCTGAATGGTACACAGTACTACACACGTAACTGCTGATGAACAGAACATGAGTTTGAATACTTGTGGAATTGGACAGGTACATTATTTCACAAAAAAAACAGGATCTCGGGCAGGTGCAGTAATGTTTAGGTGCTATTCCCAGTTTTATTGAACAAAAAAAAAAAGAGAAAGCAAAGATATTGGTTGCTGAGTTCATGCCATAAGTGGCGAAGACCTGCAATGGCTCTAGACTCTAGAGTGTGTGAGGGAATGTCTGAAATTTGTGATGAATTTGCAGGGTGCAAGTATGGTACCGTGGTACGCCATGACGGGGACAGCTAACCCTGAGGACGGTAATATCTGAGCTGTTTACTATAGCTGGAGACTTCCCATGGATTCAAAACTTTCTGATACACACTGACCGACTTTTTCGTTGGGTCAGACGGTAGACGCAAGGACAAGAATTGCCTGTAGTATAGCTGGGGCACAAGTTGCGAAGCTGTTTGGTACTGGTGCACACGTTGCCTTGCAGGATCATTGTCATATGAATATAGCAGCAATTGTGTTCCTTCTCTACAGATGCAGTTATTGAACTGCCACTACTTCACACAGAATCAGAACACTGTGTGTGCGCTGCGAGATTCTCAATCCGAGGAGGGAGCAACCGAAAAAGTGTCGATCTCCTACCGTGTTCACCGGAATAGAACGCCCGGTCATTATTGCTGTATTTGGCCCAAATTTAGGTAGAGTTGCAGCGATAATGACCGGGCGTTCTATTCGGGTGAGGACGGTAGTAGCCAGGGAAGATGTCAAAAGTAGTGGTCATTCATGTATGCACATTTTTAAATCATGGCTCAGTTTGTTGTTGTTCATTTTCGTCTGTTGTGCATGGAACCTTAGCCCCGACCATGGAGGTTGATGTCGGTGTTTTCCAAACTGTGAGAAGTATAGCTAGAAATCTGTCAGTAATCAGGTCATGAGCTCAAAACCTGCTATAGGCTTCCGGACAACGATGTCGCAGGCTGCATCCCCAAAGTTCATACCAACAACAAAACAAAAATGCCTATACCAACAACCGGTTTCTTCTCTCTTTACCCGACTATCAATCTTGCCTTGTTGTTGAATTTATGTTCGCCTTCCTACTCACCTAACCAGGAGGTCTGACTAGGTGGTTTGCACTTCCGTCCGTACAGTTGCTCATCTAGCAATTAGATTCATTCTCTTTATGTAGTCATGCACATAATTCTTCTGTATGTTCATTCGATACCCTGTCGTTATAGATGGAAGTATTATGCTGCCCTGAGTGAGCCAGCTCTTTTGCTTCAATGTGGATAGCAACTTAGCATCGACCATTGTTAATTATTTGTACGGAGGATGCCAGCTTCTGGTGATGTGTAATACCTACCTCATTCAACCTTCATTCTTGATTAAAGAGTGCAATGGCTGCATCGTCTGTAAGGTAATCCTGCAAATCCCTTCACTCCATCCATCACTGATTTATTATGTTGTCGTCATGTTCTACCCTGTTTGTTGATATCTTGGACAGGGAATTGAGATGCTATCTCTAGGATCTTTCAAGATTGGCGCAATTTTACTGGTGCGTGTGTATACGCCTCTGCCTCTTTTCGTAGTTGAGATTGATTTATTATGATCTATGATGTGTTGCGTGGTCTACTGGTGGGTGCTCTTAACCATTCAGATGGTGCGTGGCAAGAGTCAGTTCACAGGGTTTTGACTGCATAAGGATTGGCGGCCTTGTGCAGGGCGCGCAGCAGAGGTTTGTGGGGTGTTTATACCAAGCGTAGCAATATTTTGTCAGGCGTCTGTTGCTGGAAGGAAGGGCGGAGAGTGTCGACTCTGTTTTCGATTGCATCGTTCTGATTCTGTCGTGGTAAAAGATTGCTGACCTTTTGGGCTGCTAGGAAGAAGACGAGGTCAACGTAAAATCTGGCGGTCCGGCGAAGGGCAAGAGGAGAGTTTGCCGGACTTTGTGGGTTGCAGTGTTTGCAAAGAAAAACCAGTGGCCAGATGACAGAGGAGGATTCTCGTGTCAGGCCCTCTCAGCGCTAGAGGGAGAAGACAAAAAATTAAGTGTGCCGGAAGCTACTTTCTGTGAATTGGATGGGTGCTTTGCACATCATCATGTGATGGAAACATATGGTGATGGATAGTTTTCTACAGTATCAACGCTTGTTTCTCTGCAGCTATCGGTGGGGAAGCATTTGTGCGGTGGAAAAATGACAATTGCTTGTTCGTGCTGTGTGTATGCAGGGGGGTTTGTTCATTTATGACATCTTCTGGGTGTTCTTCACACCTGTTATGGTCAGCGTTGCAAAGTCGTTTGATGCTCCAATTAAGGTACGATAAGATGGATGAAACCAACGAGCCTACTGGTAGCTCAGTTGATACACCCATTCACTGTCGAAATACGGACCCAAGTTCTAATCCTGATGGATCTAGATTCTAGATGTAGGCAATGAAATAATTCTGAATTACCTTTTTTTTTTCAAGAAAAAAGGGCGACGGTCAACTGATGATGATATCGCAAGACCGTTGCCCTTTTTTTCTTGAAAAAAAAAAGGTAAGATAGATGATTGCCTGTTTTTTACTGTGTCTTATTAGAACCGAGCTTGCTCCGTCCCGTAACTGCGCATGGGTTGCAAATTTCATTGCATGATCCAATCAAGGTAACATGTGTGTTTTTTGAACTTTTTTCCTTTCCTTCTTTTTATGGTCCTGGCTCCATATCCGTTCTGTTCTTCTTCTTCTTCTTTTCTTCTTCTTTTCTTTTTTTTGCTTGCTTGCTAGCATACAATAAGTCCGAGATCAAGTCACAGTGGATGACCTGGCACCAAAGGGCTGGGTCACACTTGAGCAATAGATGAAGTGCGCTACGGTCTTCCACCGAATGGAACCCACAGTCATTATGGCTGTCTTCAGGCAAACTTTCAGTCTAGGTACAGCGATCATGATCGGACATTCGGTTCGGGGGAAGAGGGTAGTAAAGCCCCTTGTGCGACACCCAGAGTGGACGTACACGACCCTGTGTGCCCAGGTTATCAATTCAACGTGAAGATAGATGGCTGTATGTTTTCCGTATGCCTTAGTTGAACCGGGCTCATTTTTGCTCGTGGTTCCATTTTTGCTGTTCGCTTGTTGCTGTCCATTTGACATGAATGGTCTGGTATGCTTGCAATGGATCAGCAGCCACTGTCCTGGTGATTCGGACAAAGGAACTATGCCTAGAAAGTTCCTGGAAAGTTCTTGGAAAGTTCCATGCTTTCCAGACTGTTCGAGGATAGCTGTCGGTTTTGCGCCTCTTTTACAAATGAATTGGGGCCCGCTGCGTGGTGTGTCAAGGCAGTTGATGCACATGGCACTTCATGTTTTGCGTGATTGAGTGCTATGCTGACGACTATGGTCGACCTTTTCTGATCGCTAGTGACTCTCCATCCCTTCGTGTGTGTTCAGCTCTTGTTTCCCACCGGCAATAGGGAAAGACCGTTCTCGATGCTCGGCCTTGGAGACATTGTCATTCCAGGTGAGAGGGCCCTTGCCACTACCTGCAAGTCATGCGTAAGTCATGCGTGAGTCCGTGGAGTGCAAAAGTTTGATTTGTTGGCTTCTCTGTGCATGGGATGCTCTGCTTATGTTTTCTTAGTGCTAGGGTTTGTGTTTCAATCTCTACACCCTCTTTTGCCTCCCCCTCTACCTCCTTGTCCACCACCTACTTGAGTTTGTTTTCTTTTGAGATGGTGAACTGGATGGGAGCACCACCGTCTTCCCCTGAATAGAACCTGCGGTCATTATCGACGTATCTGGACTGCGGCTTGCCCCAAATGCAGCTATAATGACCGTACGTTCTATTCGTGGGAAAATGGTAGTGCCTTCTCAAGTCATTTCTTCTCTTTCTTCAGACATCGCAGGCGGGTTGGTATGATGGCCATTGCACCTGCTTGCTCTTTCTTCTTTTTACATTCGGACCATTTCTTGATTCCTGTGTCGTCCTTCGGCAGGGGCCATGTTAATCTCTTCTGTATAATTCCAATTTTAAGGAATGAACAGATTTTTCGTTTGACTGATGGAAATCATTGGGGGCCCTGAATTGACCTAAAGGGGGCCCTTTGCTCTCTCTCTCTCTCTCTCTCTCTCTCTCTCTTGTGACTCAGCGGAAGTTGACGTGAAGGGTACCGAAGTTCCGTGTTCTTTATCTGAGCTAGTAAACTCAAAAAACTGACTTGGCTGTTTCTTTGTGGGCCTCTATGCCAGGAATTTTTGTTGCTTTGGCTCTAAGATATGACGAGTCGCAGAAGACTGGAAAGCGTTACTTCAAGAGTGCATTTATTGGCTACACAGTGGGGCTGATTACGACTATCATTGTGATGAACTGGTTCCAAGCTGCTCAGGTACTGAAACAAGCTGGCAATGTGTAGTGGTAGATGGGTTGCATGGACTTTGTGGAAAAGGGGTTAACAGTCCCCTAAGTTTTCAGGCTCTTTATAACAAAACCCTAAAACCTTTTATCGCCAAAATGCCCTTTTCAGTGCCTGGGAGGCTTAACCCTATGGGCTGTAAAGGTGTGGGGGCGAGGGGCGGTTCCCCGTTAACCAATTGCGGGGCCAGGCATGGTAGCGAATATTCATAGCATAGGTATGAATTTCAGTTCGTTGGGTGACCGGTTGGTTGACCGTGGATGAGACAGCAAGCCCATCGTCAGAAAAGACAGGGCAGATTCTGACCGAGTCACAAGTGGAAACTGTTTTTCACCCCCACTATTTGAACAATTTCTCGATTTGTGCGTGTCATCCTTGTGAATGTCAGGAAGTTGTCTTTCTTTCTTTTTTTTTTTTTTCTTTTTTTTTTTTTTTCCCTTATGGTCCTGGCTCAGTCCGGTTCCTATTCCCCCGGCAAGTAAAAAAAAAACGGATTACATCATATTACCCACTCAATGCTTCCTTCCGTCTGGCCGAAGGACCCCTGATCATCATTGATTGCTCCTTCTACGGAGGATCGAGTGTCAGCTCGCCCTGACCCTTTGTTCCTCTCAGGCTTCTATTTAGAGCCTGTCGAATGAGTTCCTGTCATACGAGAACAGTGGGGAGGAAGTCGTGTTTCTTTCTCTTGACCTTAGTAAAATTTTACCCTTTTCATTCACTATTTATGATTGCCTGGTTTGGGGTCAAGCAAGCCCAGGTGCACTTAGCCTTGCCATCCATGCATCCCGACCAAGATGGACCTGGTGGTGGATGACCCTTTGAGTTCGTTGGCCAAAAAGGGTATCATATGGGCTAGTCTCTTTACCCAACACCGCTGTTCCTTCAGAAGGAGCATGGAAGTTGTTCCTGTCTGAACTCCGTACGCTGTTTTTGCAACTTTGCACATAATGTGGGTGGCGGATAGATGGTTCCCTAAGGACCAGCCATTCCTGTCTTAAGTGTAATCCTGTCTGGTCTCGTGGCTTTCCCCGCCGCACCGTTTCACTGCAGTGCTGTTGTTTGTCGTGCAAACTGATTTTAAAAAAAAAAAAAATTCGTTCTTTTGTCAATAGTACTACTATCTACCCCAACCTGTTCTCCTTTCTCACATTTTTAATCTACTATATATTGTCAAACAGAACTTCCCGGTTAAATGTAAGCAGAGAGGGAGAAGCGGACAACAAATGAGGGGGGATGTGACAGACTGTTTCGTCAGAGTTTCACCGTTCACCGACTCAGCATGAGGCTGAACCCTCTACGGTCTGCAAAGTCCCCTTAACCAATGATACTGAGAATGATAATCCACCGTAACCCCGGTTGTGGTAAAGCATCAACGACTGTGCGATAACTGATACGCTGAGGTGGTGTTGCATACTTGTGAAACACAGTCATAAGTATGGCGCAGATTCCCTGAACCGACCAGATAATACAGAGTTGATACAAATACAGCGGAAGGGCATGATACCTTTGGATTGACTCAGACCTGACTCGGACTGCGATCGAACAACTCTCATACATTCATTGGGTGTGAATGCCCTGGCCTTGAGAAGAGACGAAGGGCCAGGGACTGAAATCATACACGGACAAAGGGGGGAGAGGAGAGAGACGAAGGAGGAGGAGAGGGGAGATGATGTCAACTCAATGTTTCCAAAGATAGTAACTTAACTGTCAGAAGTGACGAAAATCCGAAATGTCGTGAATACCGAGTCTCATAATCTCCCAGATGTCGATCTCACAATGTCAAGTACATCTCCGAAGGAGAGATGGAAATCAGATCCCGAAATAGTCCTCAACTCGTACTCTCAATGTCGCTGTCTCAGATGTCATCAGAAATCGTAACCATCTCCATTACTGTAGTAGTAGTCCTGTAGGAGAAGTAGAGGGTAGGGAGGGGGAGAGAGAGAGAGAGAGAGAGAGAGCCGAGGCAGATGGAACAGAGGGAGAGAAGGCAGAGCCTTCCTCCCGGTACCTGCTGGTAGCTATGGCGCGGCTGGGCCGCTGCGCTGTTCCTCTTGC